GGTACACGATAAATAAGCTAATTGGACGTTTCTATTTTGTACTTATCGTTGAAAGATTACACTGATAATTATTACATTGAATTAAATCCGAAAGCTAAAAGTGTTATGAATTATGTGTTGCATAAACAACCTAAAGAAATTAAATGTGCTTAACATAATATTATAATGTTTGATTACACAAGAAAGTAGAAGTTTTTTTTTTTTTTTTGTTAAGAACCCGAATTATATGATTTAATTAAGAAGATTGCAGAAACGGTACCGTTTTTTTTTTTCGATAAATTTTTATGCTAACGTAACGACCGAACCAACGATGAGATAAGGATTCTGAAAACAGATATGAATTTCTCGCCAAGTTGTCTCGAGATAGCAATGGACGATTTTTCTTAAACTAGAACTCAATCCAAACGTTTTAAAAATAAAAGTTAACGTTTACTCAAATGATAAATTTGTTTTTTTTTTTGTTGTCAAAACGTGAAACGAACAATCTATCAAACGACAAAAACGACACTATCAAAACTATACGGATTTTGTGCAGGAATTATTATTTTAAACTCACTGTTTTATTTTTTTTATATAAAGTTCTTTTGGCTATAGTGTTGACATTTTCTTCTACCTTTTTTTTTTTTGCTAATAATTTCATTGGTCAAAAGGCTGTTTGGCGTTTACTTTTCATAGTTTTTACAAGAACAAAAACAAAACGTTACCTATTTAATATTTTTAAAATTAAGGGAACACAAAACAAAACATTAAGAAGAACGTTTTCTATATTTCTGTTGAATAACCCTAATAATAATTGAGTTCACGATGCTTAAAAAATAAATCTCTATATAGTATAGGATAGGATAGGGTAGTTACTTAAGATTTGAAAACACCGTAACACTTTTTACCAGTACAGTATAATCTGAAGTGTTAAATAATGATTATCTTAAGAACATATTTTTAAAAAATATAATAAATTATGTATAATTAAAAAATAAGATATAAAAAACTAATAGTATATAAAAAAATGTGTAAATCCTGTGATACACTTATTCTTTTCAAACGTTTTGAAAAAAATTAAAACAAATGTAATTTAGATTTACATCTTATTTATTTAATAAATGTATTTAATCACAAAATTATCGAAAAAAACATAACTAATGTAGAACAATGTATAAAAATATAAAACAATAAAGAACAACGTATAAAAAATAACCAACATATAAGAAAAAAGTAAAAAAACTTTGGAATAAAAATTAATAAAATAAATTAAAACAATTATGAAATAAATAAAATATATGTGGAATAATTAAAAAAAATTGCATCTACGACTATAGTATACAACTAAGTCTACTATTCCATTCGTTTTCCAAATTCTCCAAATTCCCACTCGTCTTCCTCTTCGTCTGTTAAACTATAAGAACATATTTTTTAAAAAATCGTTAGAAAATAATATTACAAAACAATATTTAATTACAAATATTGTCCAACAAATAGAATGTTAACTATAATAGATGTTTAAATTTTGACTACACTTAAAAATTAATTAAATTCTTCACTAGTAGTAAAAACGTCTAATAAGACGTGAAATATATTTGTTTTTATTGTAATTAAATTAACTTATAATGGAAATCATTAATTATAGAGCAACAAATCTAGAATTTAAAAAAAAAACCTAAAAGAACACACAGAATTCAGAATATGTGTTGAATTTAGTCTACGGCTTTGTTTATTTATTACTTTTTTTTTTTTTAATGTAAAAGTTGTACTACATGCAATTGTTTGTTTTAATATATAAATGATGCATACTATTTTTTTGTACAACAGACTTTGTTTCTTAAATTAAATTATTGGTTTTATACAATTTTATCTCAAGTTGGACTTATATAAACCACCGTAATAATATCATTACAGTATATTATGTAAAAAACTTCATCGTGTTAGTGTCTTATATAGAATATGGGTATTTTTTTTTCATTTTGAATTTTTTTGTTGAAATACCACGGGCAACAGTGTAATTGGCTGCCGCCGCGCCGGTCAGATCAGTTCACGTTTTACGATAATATTATTATTATTATTTAATTTTCGAATTACGCCTACGTCAATGGTTTATCTAAAAAAAAACACAACCCGTTCGTATGGTTCAATTGCATTTTCACGGTGATCAATAAGTTTTTTTTCTAATATTATTATGTTTGTTTGTAAATACAGGCGTAGTCGGTAGTAGCTAGAGTAGATTAGCAGCATTGACGCACTGCCGTTGAAATCTCACAATGCCGTCGGTCTTGTGATGTAAGTTGTGTATTCAACAGCTGTTAAATTCGACGATGGTTAAAAAAAGTAGCGTCTAAGGCTATAATTGGAAAAAGAGAAATGGCCAGTACAGCCCGCCTTTACTATACTATTTATCTGATTTTATAATATTCGAATAGCCGTTGAAAATATGCCCAAAGGAGATACAACCAAATATTCCAATAATTGACATTTCAAACGAGACGCCTACCACCGAGTAGTATTGTATAGTAGATAAGATTCTAGATTCGAGTTTACAAACTGAAGTCCAAGTGTACAACAAAATGTATATGGAAAAAAACTTTCTACTCCAATCCGGTGGCAATTAATTATGCCATAAGGTTTAAGTCAGCTCGTGGTGGTTGTGCGCCAGTTAAAATATTAGATACCTATTTTTTATTACTACACCTTGCGGTCCTCCAGCACACACTATATGGGCTAGGATAAACGGTGCGTTGCTCATATTATGAAAAAAAAAATCATTACTTGTACATTTATAATTGTGTATTTTTATTGTTTGTTTTTAAATATTATTTTCTGGCTTATCTTTTGATTACTACTCGGTACACGTGATTGCTAAACCGTGCATCAAAAAATAGAATTTTGTTAAAACGTTGATAAGTAGGTTGCGATTAACACATTTATTAGATTTCACAGACAAAAAAAAAAAAACCGTGCCGAACATCTAATTAAATTTAATTAGGTACATATGCATACCTCATATCTGTTACATTGAATTATACTAATAATATATATATATACACAATGTGTAACTACACATATATATTGCTATTATTTTGTGAATCGGTACTCACCGACATAAATCTTATTATATATTAAAAAAAAAAAAGATCAATGATCGAACAGGTCATTTTTAGCATAGATTATAATGAATAATGATCTATTAATAAATGAGGGATTAGATGATAAGAATTTCGATTGGCAATCTTTTAAAGCCGTTTTCAACTACATTGTACACGTTTTGGTTACGGTTTTACCTACAATTTCCGTTCATCAATTTTTGCATCTAAAAACTGCTGATTATTGCCAGAGCAACATACACCGATCACATGTCAAGATTAAACACTCAATATGTGTTCCAAATGTATTGTAAATTATTAGTTTGTTAATTAGCACAGGTTTTTAGCAAAGTGCATAATAGGCGTGATAAATTTGAAACAAAAAAAATGTGTACAGTTATTCGATTGTCGCTTTATCGCTCATTATAAAAAAACATGGAGCTTTTAAAAAATGTCATAATTGACCAGTTATATTAATAATTGTGTAATATAGTTAAAAACCACAGACAAATTAATTAGGTACTTGGAGACGATTAAATTTTAATAAGTTTTTCCGTTTCAAAATTGTCAACCAAACCAATATTATACTATATTAACAAATTTTTTGTTATTATAATTTTGAAATAAAAACTATTTCTGGGCATTATCCTTATTCGCCATGTTAGGTACAGTTATGGGTGGTAATAATTATTTCACCGTTTGTAAATTGGCCAATTACAATTAACTAAACTGTAGTTGAGTCATCAATTACATAATTAACAGTTTTAAGAAACGCCGTTATAGAGCTGATGAAAAACACTAAAATAGTGTTGTTGAAATCATATTACTTAGATTGATTGTAATTATTTATAATATTATATTAAGCAATTGATCCGTCGACCTTTACTCGATTTAGATAATAATATTATAATAATTGAACGTTACTGTTTTGCCTAATTTCTTTTTTTATTTACTTGATATTACTGTTAGAATGTATGTTGTTATTGTTCTCCGAGTTGTGCCGACGTTGATAATTAAAACAAAATAATAGGTATATATATAGAACTGACCTACACCTACAGTTCAAGAGAACTTCAAGTCATTTCCATTTCAAAGAAATTCACTTTTATTTGATTAAATGTTTCTTCATCTTGGCCAAACGCTTAGATAACCTAATGCGGTTTAGGATCCTGCTGCCCCAATATTGTTAGGCAGCAAACACCACATTTTTGACTACAGTAAAAGATATTTTGCTCTAAGTGAATTTGCTATCTATTAAGGTTATCATATTATATGAAATTCCAAAAACATAATATTTATCTACCTAAGTACATATTATGCAGGAAAAGTTCAACGGTCTTGCGGGTCGTTGGTTATCGCGTTCAGAAACCATTGCATTTAAATATTTTTGGAAACTGTATTTTATTATTCAACTGTCGAGAAGCAAAAACTTAATAATTCGATTTAGAAAAAATTAAGTTTAAGCTATTTTCTAATAGGTGGTACGATATTTTTTTTAGCATACATTTTCTTATCAGGTTTATGTCTTTAGACTTAAGAACGTTAGTATTTAAAACTTTCTTTTCTCCATAATTACACAAGATTTTTGGAACAAAAATACAAATTACCTATTTTATTATTTTGGAGTCCACAAAAAGTTAACTAGTCTAGTCTAGTTTGTTTCAAAGTTCTTCAAGAATCAAGAATAGAGTAAAATCTTCAGGCAACATTTAACCATTTTGTCCACCAAAATAATAATAATAGTCAAAAACAAATATTTGGCTTAAAATTATGATTATATTTATATATTTGTATAAATATACATACTTTATACTTAAGATATAAATATTATCTAAACATGTAAACATGTATAATAATAATAATAATAATAATAAGGTAGCAAAGCTAAACCTGCTAAACTCTATAAATGTTTAAAAAATAGCAATAATAATAATAAAACAAAAAAAAAAACTAGAGAAAAATCTGTGAAAAATATTATACACGTACACTCACAAAATATTCACCTTAATAAATATCACTAAAATATAATTTTTCCTTCTTAAAAAGAATTATACAAAATAATATTTGAGCATTCGGACGTGTTCTACATAACCATCACCTTTCATCATACAAAAACTTCTCATGGCAATTTGACGAATAATTAAAACAAAACAAAAATATATTTTACGAACACAATTAGTAAGTAAAAAATAAAACAATTAATAAAAAAAAGCCTCGTCTCTTTGTAGTATTAATTTGATTTTTTTTTTTGTTTAATAATTTGATGACAATATATAATAGTGTTATACTTCATTATACGGCCGTCATGCCTTCAACGTTCGTCCCCTCCGTAAAAAATATATATATATATATGTTTGCATAAAAAAAAAAAAAAGGAATTACAGTTTCGTTCGGAATCCGAATCCGAATAGAGATTACGTCTCTGATTCAATTCGTTAAGATATCTATTTATGATTAAAAGTTAGTTTTCGGAAACCGAATCCGAATAGAGATTACGACTCTGATCCAAAATGGTTTATATGTTACAGTGTAAAAAAAAAAAAAAATATATATATATATAAAAAAATATTGTCTTAAGCCGCAACAACAAGTCATCGATCATACACGTTTGCCATACATTTGTCGCCCAGTTTAAATTACCGACGCAATAAAATGTCAACTAAGTCATTACGGCGTTGCCACTGGAGCCCAAAACCTAGTACATAAAATATTTTTCAGTGTACATTAAATAAGAACTAACTAAACAACTAAATGGTACACAAACGCGGTTCTATGTAAAATGCAAAAAACGTAAATGTTAGTAATCGTTTTTTGGAACCGAGCGGAGCGTAACTGAATATTCCGCAGAATGTTTTTTTGGTTAAAAACAGTTAACTGGTTTCTAGTGCCAATAATATCAATTTCATTGAAATTACATCAAACAATAATAATTGTTAACAACTATGTCGGTCTAGTGGAATGATATTATACACGACATAAGTGCGTCGGACAACGCTCCGCTGGTATTACGGTACTAAAAAAAAAATAATAATAATAACGTTTTCGTTATACAATATTTTTTTAACATAATAATAATAATAATAATTAAATAAAATAGAATGGTTATTGATTGTAGTCTTAAAATAATTGTCTCGGATTGTTTAAGCGCTCAAGTGGTGATATTGCCGATTTCCAAGGCCTTCAACAATTCGGACCCTTGGAGCAGTTCGCCTCCGGCGGGAGCGTTTACGTCGTAGTCCTGTTCGGTCAAGTCCAACAACGAAGGTATGGTCGTACTGCCCGGATCCAATAGACAGGCACTCTTTAACCGCGATCGGTGTCTGGGTTGAGAGCCATTTTTGATAATCGTGTCTTTACTGACAGACTTGCTCACTCCGTCCTAAACACATACAGAACATAAGTTTATTGGTGGACAAATTAAAAAAGAATAATATCTCAACAATTTAAACTCGGCGTGTGGCAAAGTGATAGACCAGGAGGATAAATTGTATAGTTTGGGTAAAAAATTATTTTTAAAAAATTGTGTCTTCTCTTTGTTGTTTGCCTACGTCAATCAGAGAGATTGTGGTGAATTTTTGGTATTTTCCAGAAAATTAATACAAGCGACATTTTTGTCGGCTACAAGTTATGATAAAATGTTTGTATTACAATGAAATAATAATCAAAAACAAAAACTGTGCATTTGTTGTTTGCACATAATATGTGTTATAGCGTCAGACACACACATAATAAATTGATAATTCTAGAAATTTCAAATTTATGGCAACACCAATATGAATATATTTATTTATGTAAACAACATTGTGAATTGTTATGCTACTAAAATCTTTAGTGTTGTTGCCAGATAAATATTGTGTATCGCAGTATAACGTGTTAAATGTATAGAACATTTTTTTTTTCAAACAAATGCTTATACATGTTTATGCAAGGAGCATTAAAAATTCAACAAAGGAGAACACAATTTTTTTATATAATATATACATAAAGGACAACGAGAGAAATAAAAACCAATGTGTATAGTTTTTTATTATTATTTAACAAAATTATTTTTAAAACAAAATAATCAAATATAACAACAGTAATTATATAATAATAGTAATAAGTAAATTAAACAATAGACAATTCAAAATATATATATATAAATATATATATGTACGTAGTAGATCGGCGGTGGTTGTTGCTACTAATTGTATTTCGTACAATTCTTATACTGTTAAGAGTCTCTTTTTTAACGATGGATACACTAGACGTGACTAATCCACAATCGTGTACATCTTCTACTGCTAATGTTAAAATGTCAAGCTATAAATTACAATATATGTTTTTCAAGTACAAAAATTCCCTGGAAATATTATATTACTGTAAGGAACTCTTTTACTACACTCTCGCAAACGGTTTGCTGAGTAATTTTATGTACGTGAGCACTTCACTAGGACAGAATGCCATACATACATAATATTCTAAATATGTCTAACTACGTGTCATCGTATTGTTGAGTGTATATGATTTTTTTTATTATACAGTTATGGTTTTTTTTTGTATTCGCCCTGGTACTGTGTCCCGGCCACAAGCTCTACCGAATAGAGCCGGCCACCAAAGACACCATCTAAATTTGTCACCTAAACGTTTCACCGATTAGATAGGGATGCTATCACTTTGCCGCCACGTTTTGGCGGGTTTGGGTATTATAAAAACGTGTTCTCTGTTGGACGGCCGTGCTTTTGGGTTTTTTCGACGTAAAGCACACATAACCGGCACTCACGTCGCATCCGCTCACCAGCAAATTCATCAACACGCTGTTGGACGTTCCCTGTTTGGCCGTCTCTTCCTGTTTGCACCGCTTCCACGACTGTGAGGCCGTCGTCACATTTGGTCCGACCCGCTTGACGCCTCCGTTGGACCTGGTATCCGTGGTGTCATCTGGTGGTGAAAATGGTAAAAGTCAAAACACAGGGCAAAAGGCGCTTTTCCAGCCCCACCCCCTCCTCCTACTCTCAACAGTTTTTATTTACTCACCTCTGGCGTCGGCCGAGCCCGTGTTGTACCGCTGATGCAGCATTTTGCTTATCGAACCCCAAGAGTCGCCACCGCCATCGGTCAAGCCGCCGCCGCCGTTGCCGCCACCGCTATCGAAATGCGGTCTGGCTGTGTTGCCTTCTGATTTCAACAGCTTTGCCAAGCTTGGCGAATTCGTGTCTCTCTTGTCTTGTGCCTTAACGGATTGTGGTATGTGCCTGTGAAATTCCCCAATCGTTAATTACTAATAACCTAACCTAACCAAACCAAACTTATGATCGTCATGCACCGATCGAACTTCCTTAAAGGGGTTCAATGTGCTGCGAGAGGTTATTCAACAATCCCTTACCAATTGATCGGTGTAGGCTTTGGAGACGGAGACCTCTCAGCTGGTCCCCACAGGAGGTCGCCGGACAGGAGCGGATACAGATCGTCCTCGTACATGGGTATGAATTGGTTTTTCAGCGACAGCTCCAGATCCAGGTCGCTCTGACTATTGTCCAGGTCCATTCCCAGCAGCGTCGACATGGTCGGATCGCACAGGCCCGGCGACTGCGACAGGTCGTCGCCGATGTGCTGCATTGGCGAAGACGACCGGTTGGAATAGACGTCGTGCATAGAGTTGGGGGGCATCGAGTCGAACGGGGCTAGGGAACAGTCCGTCAGTATGAGGTCCTCGAGGACGTCGGACATGACGAACCCGAGATGGTTAAGACCGCAAGTGTCCAGGGGCACGCACACGTCACCGGCCGTCGGCGCCAAGTGAGTCAGGTCTTCGGGTTCGTCTTTGAGCACTGAAAACACACAAAAAGAGCACATAGTTAGTACAAGAAGACTGGATAATGTCTAGTAGCGCCGGGAAGTTCTCATTAGCATTCCAACTACCCGGTGCTGGAGAAAACTGAGCTTTTAGCGACGACTCACTGGTAAGACCCGTGTCGTCGTCGGAGAATGTCAAGAACCCTTTGTTCATGTCTTCGGTTCTGGGGACGAATATCTTGGCCGTGGCGGCTTTGGGACTGTCGGAAGAAGCGGCGGGCTTCTTGCTTGGCGGGACGATGGCAACGGCCGGTGGTGATGGTGACGGTTTCGCCGGTTGGACGTTTTTCGGATCCAAATACACGGGTCCGTTGCCGGCCGGCAACAGGAAAGTGGACGAGTCCACCAGGCACTTGGGTTTGAACAGCTTTTCGGTGCAGGATTTCTTGACGGCGGGCTTTTGCAGCGGTTGTTCCCCGGAGTCCGGAGGAGGCGATGGTTTCACCGGTGCCGGTTTCGCTTTGGCTGGAGCCGCCGACGGCAATGACGAAGACGCTGCGGCGTTGGAGACGACTGCGGGATTAGATGACGGTGCTACGACGGGCACTTGTTGGGGCACCTGGCACAGCGAGTAAATGTCGTCGCCGTTTTCCACACCGCTGTAACAGAATAGCAGAGAACAAGTTTTAAAAGACCGTCCGCATCCTCACGACAAGCCTACCGCAATTTGCACGAGTCTTTTTCCCACTTGGCAACCGGACGGCCGAAAAGAATGTGCGCCAATTGGGACGTTTATTTTCGATTCGCCAGAAGTTCACGGTAACGTAACACGAGAGCGCGTCACTTGGCGGTTTTTTTTCATCTCTCGATTAGCAAAAGAGAAAGACAAAAAAAAACGCCAAATAAAAATACCCGTTGGTAAGGCGCAATTAACTCTCGGGCGTTTTTTTGGTGAAAAAAGTTCAAGGCCGTTCGGTAACCCGATCTTGTAATAACGCCGGCAAAGCGCTTTTTTATTACCGCGTGTGTTGCTCTTATCAACACAACCCGGCAAACGGCGTCTGTTGTACAGATAGAAACAATCTGGCCGTTAAACGAACGGCAACGTTTGGTGTAATAGCTAAAGAAAACTTTTTTAAATAAATTATACACCTTATACGCATATGTATTTATCGCGTTCCGTCGGGGAATTACATTTGTTGAATAGGGATTAACCCTACACGAAATTCCAAGCCGGGATAACAATTATTACTCGGCCGGTAAAAAGGTGGTTTAACGATTTTGTCGACCGTTCGGTGTGGGCCCGACATACGCGGTTGCTGCACTTCTCGGAGGAATATTTATAAATAAACAACTTGCGGTTCCTTCGTACTATATGACACTACTGCACTACAACACCTCCACCACCGCCTATACTACTAATACTACTACTACTACGCGGATCACGAGACAAACCACTCGAGTAAAAAAAAAAAAAAATATTCAGGCTGTTGAAAAAAAAAAGTAATAATAAATAGCATTCAATTGTCGCCGCGTCACGTGAAATTAATAGCAAAACGATATTAGCAACGCGACGGTTATCCGGGTTCAAAGAGAAATTTTGTTTTTGTTTTGTCAAAAACGGATTTCCGCTAAAAAAAAACAATAACAAAAAAAAACCTCACACAGTCAATTGAAAAACTTGTGGTAACAAAATTACATTAAACCTCCCAAGGCGTCAATCTTTTGGCCAAATCGATCAAACGACAACATACTGTTAGACACATCAGCTAATAAAACGGTTGTTTTACATCGGATATCTCGAGAACCTCTAGTTAGTCGTGTATAATCTAAATTGTTTTAATAGTATACTATTTAATAATTGTACTATACCAATAATCGTTACACGCGGGCTCGTATCAGTTCGTATAAAACCCACTACGGCGTGTCCCAAAACTTCAACAGCGCACGGATCACCGTTGATTATTAATTAGTAAACTTGAACCGTTTATGAAAAAAATATAACGTTTTTAATTTACATAAAAAAAAATAGTACAAAAACTGTTTCAAAAAAAAAAAAAAAAAACCCACGTCAAAAATTCTTTAACGAAATTAATATTATAAACAACAGCAACAAAAGTTTTGGTTTTTACACATACTATACAGTGTATTATATACTTTGAGACTGTAGTATACGTTACACATTGTTACCCACAAGTACTCGGTCGTTTTTATACACGAATTGAGTTTGTGTACTTAAGCAAAAAAAAAAAAAATCATATTAATAAAAATAATATTAATGAGCGCGACGACTATATTATATTACGTTGGATAATCCACGATCGGTTACATCACACGCCGTTTGTGCCGCGTGTGCGTGTGTTATTTTTTTTTTTACTTTACATAAGTTCACATAATTGTGCGCAAGGCCGAACAAAAACAACAGAAAAAATTAAAGCGTTTTCATTAAAAAAATAATAATAATAACCACGTCGAACAGAGACGGGACGAAGGCGGTAACCCGGTTAAGAGAACTTAATAAGAAAAATTTTTGCAAATCAATTTACCGTATTTACACATTGTATTTGATATTTTACTTATTTACACACAAAACGGCGATGCTAAGTCCCAAAAGCGTCCGCACCGAGTGGGAAACGACAATAATATTACATCATACGCCTAAGTATAGATATATATATATATATATATATATATATATATATTTTTGTATACTAAATAAATGAAAAATAAATAAAATTCGTTAGTTAGGATCGATGCAATTACCTTTTAGACTTGTATTTACTACTACTACTTCTACTACTACTACAACGGTGATAATAATAATAACAGTGGCGATTTTTTGGTTTTTAATAACTATTATGTACAATTAATAGACTAACAGGAATGATAAAATAAATATATAAAACAAACAAAAATACCGTTTAAAATCTTAGTAATAATAAGGTGTTTGTCATTGAACACCGACAACGACCATGCGAATTAAGAAGAATATTGTTTATTTTAAAATTAAAATTAAGTAATTATTGAAAAATAAAACGACGGGCGGAGATCACGCGAAAGTTAGAACAGCAAAATAGCGCAACTGGCAGCCAGCACGCAACTGAATTCAAGTCTAGACTAGACTAGTCGACAGCTGTTGCTGACAGAGTGACCACCGTTGGCAGCGCTTACCTACCAGGCAATAGAAACGGCTATGGCGCCCCGCCGCCGCCTCTGCTACCGGTATTTATTATTACTGCTTTATTTTTTTTCAATCACTTATCGTTTTGTCAAATTTATCTAATATGAAATAATAATATAAATAAAAATCGTATCATCTACATTTCACGTGCACAATCTCCAATCAATAGATATCACACACACTCACACACACACACATACAGAAGAACACTAATTTATTATTATTACTATATTAACTATCTGCATAAAATATACCTACCAGTCAATAATGAGTCGATAACCTCTGGAGAACGTACAGAGGCGGAGAAAAAAAAACTATTTATCACTTATTATAATATATTGTGCAAATACTTGTACATAACAAAACCTGCACAGTTAATGAGGTTTATTTTACCGACAAATCGGAATAGATTTTTCGCCGATTCTTTTCCTATTGTAATTTGTAATACCCGATAATTATTGTTATTAGAGCCATTTCGGAACGCCATTGAGCCAACAACAATATTATATATTATGATCAAAGTGTCATAATAAAAATTACAATAAAATACATTCGTCCATCGTTTCGTACGTAATATATTTTAAGAAATGACGTATCGACGGACGACGAGCCAAATCATTAACAACGTTCAACAGTATACGAAAAAACACATACACACACCAATTACAATACCAGAATCGATTAGCATACAAAAAGTGAGAACGGGGTGAACAACTTCAAGTTTGTTATTTTTTTCGTCAATAATCGAGTTTTACTTTTATCTAAACGCAACTTGATTTCTGTTTAGTACGAATACCGACTGTACGGGAGTTATCATGAATAATAAATAAATAAAAACGAAAGAACATATACCTACAACACAGAGGGTGTGGGCGTTAAGAAAATAACTTGACAAACATTATCACTCTTATTATCCTAAGTCTGGGCCAGTAGAGCGAGTTTTTAAAAGAATAAGATAATCTTAACTCAATCGACAACTCTTTAAACAAAGATCCTTACAGGAAATTTCAACTGCAAAAATGACAATACCAATTTGCACATGTATGCATATTAGCTGGGAAACATATATATATATATAATTCTTTCAGCAGTTTCATTATCAGTTTTTATCAACAATGGACAAACAAAAGTCAAAACCAGTATCTATATTTTTACGGCACCGTTCGATGGAAGACTTAATGGTTTTTCTCCAATGGAATCTGAACCGAGACGTTACCACAATGATTATTACTACAAAAACGAGACCACGACAGCATTATTGATAGTTGCAATCCTTTTTTATGGTGCAATTAACAAATAAGACTCATCGACGGACTTCAGTAAAGATGTATTTAAAGATGATTATTTTTACGAGATTAAAAAGTCGTCAAATGCGAGCAAGTTGCGTGTAGAAAGTGTCGCGTTTAACTTTCACATTAACTCGTCCGCAAAAGAAACATCCTGATTTTGAAAGAATCTTAAGTCTTCATAATTTACAAACAATTTGCAATAATACATTTCACGTACCAAAATTATCTTAGGTAAAGTTTAGAAAAATGAATTTGTCTTTAAAACATAAGACCAATTCTAAAATCAGACATAAAATTATCGCACCCACACACAGTGTAGAAAAAACACAAATAATTCCAAAATATTGTTTTAAAATATACTTAAAGGTTACAGCCTTGAATTTTGGTTGGTATTCAATGGACGTAATTATATGAATACTAAAAACCCACAATTTAAAATTAAATCTCACTTCCACCGCTGCAAGACAATAGTTAAATATTATTATTAATAACGCATCGCTACATATTAGTCTTGTGATTATTGCGTATAAAAAATGTATTATATAATGCATCTTGGATTCATTTTTTTTTTAGTGTGTCTGCTGCGTGGAAAAACAGAAAAACCGGAAAGTCGTGAAATGAATAAGCGACAAGGGATATCATAATAAAATAGCAACGCTTATTATATTTAACCATATAGGAGTGCTACAACAAATCCAGTACCGCAGAATAAGTCCATAACTACAGCCAGAATCCAAACTACTCTTAGAAACGGAATATGATGACATTTAGGGAAAGTCACGCTTAAGTACTAAACCGTTTGAAAACCGATAAATAAACGCAGCGTTCTTATCAACGCTAGAGACGACGTTCGATTCGAATGTAAGTTAGCCCAACATTAAATAACCCAAACATTAATGAACGGATTCGCAGAGACTCTGGAGTCCACAACAATGAACCGAAGACCTGTAACGGTGATGTCAAAAACAAAAAACACATTTCTATAACATTTTGAAGTTTTCATCGCACGATAATTAACATTGAAAACGTGCGAGATAAAAAAAAAGGATAGAAAAATCTGATTTTTGTTTACAGCCTCGAAGGCGGGTTTTTAAGAACTGCTAGAAAACTATTTTAAGGTCTTAAGATCTAAAGAAAGTTTTTTTTTTAATTAATTAATTTTTAAATAATTATAAAAAATAATTGGTAC